GGGAGTTCGAGATTTGTAGATACTAACTACTATATATATAAAAAAAAACAAGTTTCTACTGTATAGTACAGGCAGCTATATTCAATATCTTGTAGTAAGCTATAATGAAAAAGAATATGAAAAGGAACATACGTATGTATGTGTATGACTGAAACATTATGCTGTACACCAGAAATTGACACAACATTGTAAACTGACTATACTTCAAAAAAGAAAAAAGTATGGTCAGCATGGTGGAATGGAAAGAGGTCAAGTTTGAGAATGAGGCAGACTTAGGTATAAATTCTGGCTCTGCCATTTACTATCCCCATGGTTATGGACAAATTAACCTCCCTGAGGCTGTTTTCTCATTTCTATCTCATAGGATTGTTGTAAGGATTAGAAGAGTTTTGTGGAACACCTAGTCTAGTACCTGATACGTGGTTGGTGCTTGATAAATTTTAGTGGTCCTTTCTTTTAAAAGAATGAAGCAAATTCTTTGCTGACTGGTGATAATGATGTGAAATGGTTTAAACTTTGGCAAATTCATTTCTGATGCCCTGGATACCCAAATATAAAAGGAGACTGTATTCTGTATTCTAGAAAATTGAAAGACTAAAATCAGAGCTCCATCTGCTGGATTTCCAGGGGAAGCAACAGAATAAGCACGTGTTCTTTTTTGACACCAAGAAGGAAGGTATGAAATGTTTGAAGGTTTCTGGGACAGTCTAGCATATTGATTTGTGTTGCTTGGTGTTAGAGACAGTGCCTTAAAGTTTCTCTTGATTTTAGTTGAACAGTTTGATATCGCAACTCACCTACGAACAGCCCCAGAACTAGTTGACAGAGTCTTTAATAGACCCACAATAGACACCCTGCAGAAGGAGAAAGTGAAAGGAGTGAACCATCAGACTCGACTTAAGGTAATTTTCTCCATTTTTCTTTAGGTCTGAGTTTAGGGGAATCTCGTCCCCCCCCCCACACTTAATGTAATTATTTGTGGAAAACGTACCAAATTCTTTTACAAAAGTGGAAGGAGGATTTGGTGATGGGGATGGAAGTGGAGGAGGGTTCTTGTTTCTAAGATTGGAGGACCTGTAGCATCGTGTCAGGAGCTGCAATTCTGGCCTCTAGATCTACATTTGAATCCCAGCTCTGACCCTGGGCTTTGTGTTTTCATTGCTTGTAACATGCCAACAGTTTAAAACTGCAGAGAAAGCAGGGCACACTGAACACGGAGGGATTTGGTATACTTTGAGACTAAACCTCTAGCAGTGAATACACATAGCAAAAAGGCTTCCATATTAGGCATTTGTACCCCAAATTTTGTATTGATTTGTCCTTATGGTGCTTTCCATCTCTGTGTTTGTGCAGAAGACATGCTTTTTCTCCAAGTTTTCTGGAGTTGAACTCTCACTTCTGACTGATTCATTTAGAAAAATGCTGTCAGTGTGTTTCAAGCAGGCAGCTGTTCTGTTTTGATTTGAATCATTTACACCCATCAGCTTTGCTTCCAGTGTTTAATTTCACAGCAGCTTCTCTAGCTCAGAGGCAGCTAAACTTGCTTTAATTAGTTTGACTATATTGGGTAATCCCATAAATTTGACAGTCTGTGCAATAAAGTGAAAACAAAAGCTGTCTGAAACCACTGCTGTGAGATTGTGCTCGAGTTGGTGGGTTGTGTAGTTTTGAGGCCCAGGAGTGGTCGCCTCTGTGTGGATAACACGTCCAGCGGAGGAGCCGGCTGGCTGGTGTTCTAGTGAGCACCGTGCTTGTCATTTAGTTGTATTTTCAGTTAGCTGTGTCACTGACACTTCTCAAGTCTGGCAGAGTCCCTAAAGAGATGGGTGTTTCGAATTCCTGTGTAGAATACTTCACCAGCACACCTTTTGAGAAGTTGGGAAGGTTTGGATCTTGCCATTTTTGTCTAGTGGTGTTGTTTCTTTTGATTTTGTTTAAAGCAGAATTAATTTTATTAGATTGCCGGTGGGTGGGTTGCAAGGGAATTTTTAATCTGTCACTTGGAGGGGGTAGGCAGTCCATGAATGGGCTTTAGGAAGTCTGTAAACACCCTCTGCTCACATGGAAATTTTGTGCGACTGGGTATATATGTTTGTATGAATTTGTACAAACGCATGTGTACCTTTATTTCAAGAAAGAATCCAAAACTGTCATCAGTTTCTCAGAGGTCTATGATTCCCCCACATTTGAGGACCGTTGGTCTTTGAGGAGTCATCAGCAGTGAGAATTCTCAGGTCAGCTTCTGCTGAAAAAATCCTCTGCTCTCTGAGTTCCTCAGTTCTCAGACACCAGCACACTGCCCGGTGGCTCTTCTGGTCTTTTCCTCTCCCCTAGTGTTGGGTTTCCAGTATTGGTTCATTCCTGCGTCGCCTTAGGTAACCACAGCTCTCACACAAAGGGTGAAGCAGCTCAGTGTAGTGGAAAGATTCCTGGGATCCGCGAGGCTCGTGGCACAGTCCTGACCCTGCTCCAGGTGAACCGTGTGTCCCTGGGCAAGTCTCCAAGGTTCCATCGAGCTCTGGAATGTGCTGTTCCTAAAATGGACAACTTGAAAGTATCTTGTTACATTGATTCCGGGCTAAGGAGAGAATTGATGTAACCATTTATGCGTTTGGGCCTAAGTGGATTGAGAAACAGTTTCTTAACCCATTTTTATCCTGTTAATTGTTTTACTGAAAACGTGTGTGTTTTCTTCTGCAGCGGATAGCTAAAGAAAGGCAGAAGCAGTATGACTGCCTGGCACAGCGGATTGAACGCGAGAAGAAATTGTTCGTTGTTGCCCAGAAAATTCAGACACGCAAAGATCTTATGGTGAGGAGAGAGAGCCTCAGGCCTTCATTTTATTTTGTGTTATTTTTACCTTGTAAACGTCTTAACTGAGACTGGATTTCAGCAGTGTATAAATCAACCCCATTGAAAATGTCTGCTCCTCAGGGGCAGTGGTTTGAGCCAGTGTCTGTTTCTCTGACAGTGTTGAAATGTTCCTTGATTAAGAAGGTAATGAGGGGCTTATTAGTCAATGCTTTGGAACAGCAAAGGGTAGGATCGGGTGGCATATGAACTTTATGGCTTATGAGCAGCTATCTGTAACATTTAAACAGGTTAACAAAACAGTGCGTGTCACTCACTGGTGTTTAAAAATAGACAACATTGTGTAGTTAAATAGCAGAGCTGAGGAATTGTAAGATGCCCCTTTCATATTATTATCATTCCTCTAAATGTCAAGTTCTTCAGCTTTGCAGGTCATTTAAGTCTGTCTTTGTGAGCTGGGGTTCCGTGAGAGAAGAAGTCCTACAAAAAATGATTTGAGTGCCTGTCTTCTCAGTTTTCCCAAGGACTTCTGCACAGCGAGCACTGACATAGTTGCCTGGGGAGGGCTTGATTCACTGTGTCTGGGATGCCTTTAGGGCAAAGGGCTTTGTTTCTCCTGAACACTGCGCCGCGCTGAATTAGGGGCTTCCTCACAGGTAGTTCATTAACCTTCCTGTCTTACACGACCCTGTCCTGCTGTTTACTGGAAACTTTTTACTCTCTTGTAGGATAAAACTCGGAAGGTAAAGGTGAAGAAAGAAACAGTGAACTCCCCAGCTATTTACAAGTTTGAGAGTCGTCGAAAACGTTGACGTGTTGTAGATATGCCTTGTCATTCCGCATGGAGCTGAGTTAATGGGTTTTTTTTTCCCCCAGTAACTTCAAATTCAGTTGGTCTAAATGATTTGGTTTTCCTGTTTGTAACTGTAATTTATTATAGATCTGGCATTTGCTACGAGCTATATTAAAGCCCCTTCCCCTGTCTAAATTGTTCGTGGGTTGTTGAAATCAGTCTTGTTTTCATGTATTTTTATTTTATTTATGAAAGTTACATAATCTCATTACGGCAAATTTGGAAAATAAATGAGTTCATCCCAAACCCCAATACTTGTTCAAGAGCAGCAGATAATTGTTGTATACTCACAGTGATGGGGGGGAGGGAGACGGTGGTGAGCAACTACCAAGAGCATTCTGGCTTGTTTCCTCCGTTTTGTAAAGGTTTGTGCAGGTTTCCGTTTGTTTCTGTGTCTTGTAGTTGTAATTATAGTAAACACTTTTATGGCCTGCTTTTTACACTTATTATTACATTGTTAGCTCTTTTTTATTATATCACTAAAGTTTTAAAAAGTAATATGTGCTTATCATAAAAATTAAAATAAATATTTTTAATATTTGCATAATGTTTTGTCCAGTGGATGGACTGATTTTACTTTCATTCATTCGTCATTTACTGGGCATTCAGGTGACTTCATAAGTTAGCGAAGGAGGAAATTTTTTTCCTTTACGCTTGACTGCAGGTAGAAATCCTTGGGGTTAGGAACATACAGGGCACCTCTTCTTTACCGACGAATCTCCCATCAGAACGGACCTGGCTCTCGGTTCTTGCCCTCCTGGCCAGCTCGTGATTCCAAGGCTATCGGTGGCTTTTTACAGGCCTTCACCCTGGAGATACAGACCCCAGGATGTGTGTGGCAGACACACAGACTTCCCGAGCCTCACCCTTCCTTTCCCTGCCCATGTAGGGATGGTAGGCTGAGGCCGGTCAGGACAGGACTGAGCATAGAGTAAATGTGGGAGAAACAGGATTCTGGGAGGTTTGCTTATACCTCACCCCCTGGAGGGGCAACAGTTCTGTGTAGATTTTAAAGATTAAAAAAAAAATTGTTAAAACCTATTAAGTTCCCATGAATGCTGTATTTTTTGAACAAAGCCTAACATGAAAGCCTGTTTCCTCAGGGTATACTCAGTGGGATTCAGATCTGGGGGCCCTGGAAAAATAGGAAGAAGGGCCTGGGGACTGGAAGTGAGCAGCTTTTGCCTTCAGGAAGGAAGTGCCTGTGCAGGAAGTCGCTCCTGGGGAGGTGCTGAGCTGAGTAAATGTTAATATTCTTGTAACGTAGACCCGACCCCGGGAAGGGACTCATCACATGAGGACTGGACTGAGGAGCAAACAGATCAAGCAGCAGTCTGTTCCTGGGACAAAACAGCTTGATCCTGCTGCTCAGACCCTTCCTTGCCCCTGCTGGGGAGAAAGGTGGGAGGAGGAGGGCAGTGAGCCTAAATGCCTTCTCGTGGAAGCACACGCCCACACCAAGTACCCACACTTCGTGGGCTCTCACATGAAGAGATGTGCGAGGTACAGACTGCTCAGGCCTCAGAAACACAGATGCGTGCACATCTGTGTATCCCCTGGTTCACAAACACACCTCCAGGTACACAGGTTACACACCCACAAGGCTTCACATGATACTGGGTACACAGTGATGCTTGAAGAGGCACGTGCACAGGCCAAAAACGGAGCAGGAAAGTCCATCCTCTCCCAGTACCATTAGTTCCAGGGTACAAGTAATCAGAGTACTCACTGTCAGAGGATAAAGCTCTGGGAGGGAACTGCTCTTAAACTGAGGGTTGTCACTAAGACCCAAGGATTCTGATATGATGAACCTAAGATGCTCCAGCCTCGTGGGTTGGGAAAATAGGCCAGGAATTTGATGTTTTGGTGCCCACTGGGACCTCAGACTCCTGGCTCCTTGCTTAGGAAGGGAGGGACTGTTGCTTCCTTAGGGTCTGCCCCCTCCAGGTCTGGAGGGTGCTTTGGGCTCTTGGTGTCCTTCTCTGGCTGTGCCAAGGGGAACTATGGAAGTGGAGAGCATTTCTGTCGGCAGAGCTCTTCTGGTTCAGGTTTCATACAGACCAGCAGCTCCCTGGACGACACGGGACTCCCAGGCCTCTCCAGCAGAGAAGCAGCCAGCCCGGCTCAGGCTTAGCCTGTTGCCACATCTTAGGGCCCGGAAGCAAGAGTGTCAGGCCCTAGCTTTATTCTTGAAGAAAATCTGATTCCTGGTGACAGGGTGGGAAAGAGCCCAGTAGGTGGAGCTGCTGCCCCTTCACTGGGGTTAGTTCTCAGGATGCTGGTGTCCACTTAGCACACTGCTTCTGTAGAAAGCGTCCTGTACTCCGTGGGCGCTTAATATGCATTTGTTTATTGAATTTAATGCCATGTGGGAGAGCCCTTGTGAAAAAAGATTTTTCTCCACCCCAGCTCCCCCAGCTGGAGATGAGGGTGGCCCCCAAACAAGGACTGGGCAGGAAAAGATTTTCCCCTCCCATTTCTAATGAGGACCATGAAGGAAAAGTGTCTTGGGAGTCCCAGGTTGTCTAGAGAGTGGTCCCACCCAGACGTGGTCTGGGTCTCCCCGCGTGTGATTCTGAGCATCTGTTTATGGCTGGCTGTCTCCGCTGCTGCTGGCTGTGGGGCAGCAAACCATTTGAGCTGCACGTCCTCCAGCAGGGAAGGCAGCCAGCAGATGCAGGCTCGCTCTGCCTACCTGCAGAGGCCGGTGAGGCCGGAGCCTGTTGGGACTTGAGACAGTGAGGCAAGTGGGTGTACGGTGCTGGCCTCCTTCCTCCAGCTCTCCCAGTGCCTCATATACTGGGGGTTGGGGAAGGGTGGGCTGACGCTTGGGTGGGAGTCCTGGCCCAAAGGCCCAGGTGAGTGGAGGAGTCAGGGTCGGACCTGAAATTACCATCTTGAGGCTGAGCTGGCAGCTTTCTTGGAGTTGCCTCCTGGGGTCAGAGGGTGCACTCTCTTTTGCCAGCCAGCTCACGGGTCCTCCCTGCTGGCAGGGCTCCCAGCCGGCTCCCTGGGTCTGTCTCAACAGAAAGGGCAGGGAAGGAGCAGATAAGCTACGCAATTCCAAGGGGGCAGAGCTTCCCTTCCTAAGTCCAGCACATAGAGTTAGGAGGTTCAAGAGCCTGCCCAGCTCATGCTGCTGCAGGTTCTCCTGTCCTAACTTCTCTGGTCAGAGGGAAGAAATCGCTCCCATTTCTTCAGGCTCCCTGGAAGGGATCTCCCTGTTCCTTACTCCTAGATCCATCATCATTACTTCTGGGAAGCTGTCTAATCTGTCTCTCTCCTAACTGGAGTTGGTATCTTGTTCTCCCTGCCCAGTCCTGTCTGCTTCACTCGGTGGCCCTGGTAATGACCATGGCCATGTCCTCTCGTGTGAGGGGAGCAGACTGGTGTCAGGGTGCTGGTGCTGCGCAGGTGGTGGTAGAGGCTGGTCTGAAACGGAGCCAAAGACTGAGCTGTTTCTCGGCAAGAGGAGTTTGTCTGAGGACTGTTGTGTTTGGGGTTGAGGGTGGAAAGGAAGCCCTTTCCTTTCCTCCTGTCATCTGTCACCTGACGGCCAAGCCCAGATAGTAAGTGTTAATGAAATTGTGGTGCCCCACAGAGGCAGCTGGGCAGCCCCCCCACCGCCCTGAATTCAGCCTGACTCATTTACAGCTCTCTCCCAGTTCCCCCTAAGGCTTCTCTCTGAGGTGACAAATGTGGGGGGGTTGGTTTCAGGTTTCATGTTTTCACATTACTGGGTGGAAAAAATAACCTTTCCAAACCCCAAAACCAGCTTCTACAGCAGAAACAACATGTCCTGAGAGTACTGAAAATTTCCCCATCTTCTCTCAGCTGTTCAGCGACGCTGAGGCCAGTGACTGAGGGGTTCAGAGGAGTGGGGGTTGGAGCCGGGCTGAGTAGAGTGTTGGGGACAGTCCCTTTGGAGGTGGTGGCAGCACTTACCTTCCTGCATAAAGACAGGGGAGGACCTTTGCAGGGCTCTCTAGCTCTGGAGGCTGGTCTCCAGTGGCCAGCCACGGATTGCCAGGGGGCTGGGACAGTCAGCTCAGGATGGGCAGGGACCAGGGAAGGAAGCCACCATCTCTGGCTAATTTGATCCCAGGAGATCGGGGTCAAGTGGCTCTCCCTTGGAGAGGGCTTGAGGTGGAGTGGTAGGTGGGAAGATATAGGGTCCATCTGGCACGTGGAGACTGGGGGTCACCACCCCCTCCTGCTCCTAGCTAGTAGCATTATAAACCCACCCCCTGCCCCAACCCCAACAGGGGCAGATGGCTTCCATGGCAGATGGAGACTAGGCCAGCAGTGGCTGGATGAATCTCAGCCCAGCCTCCCTGGCTAATAAGACAATCCAGAGGGGCAGTGGCAGGATGTGTGTGTCTGTGTGTGTGTGTGTGTGTGTGTGTACGGATGGAGTCCGTGGTACTTTCGTGGGCCTAGTTCGGTGGGGGTAAGGG